TTGTAAATACCAGATATAATGTTTGTAAAAGAGGAGAGTCTGAGGAAGGACATTGAGAAGAAAAATAAGGAGGCAAAGCATTAATGGCACAAAAAAATGTGTTATTATCTGTTGAAGATATTTTGTAGTTTTACCAGCTGTACCAGGGAGAGATGTTCACCTGTTGAAATATCCATTTGGTAAGCCAAATAATAATGTGATTGAATGTATAAAAGAAAATGAAATAAATAAAAGAAATGAAAGAATAAAAAAAAGATAATAATTAAAAAAAAAGATGGCATCATAATTCTCACATCATCATCCAGTGCTATAAGCACCATCAGTTAGGGAAAAAACTTAAAAGTGTTATAACACCTTAACCACTGCAAACCACAGTCCTTCTCTACTGCGAATCACCTGCATTTCGTAACCTAGTGAATCGGAATGTAGGTCAGACAGAATACATGTGCGTGCATGCCCAAAATTCCCAGAGGAGCATGGAGAAGGGATTGTAGCACAGCCATTTCCCTTGGAGGGGTATTTTCTCATTTCCCTCTCTCTCTCCTCTCCACTGAGCACATGCATTCCTTATCAAATATAAAAAGTTTAAAAGCAAAGTCTCATTTTAGAATTTGATGAAAGGTTATGCAAAGAATAAACACATTACAAGATATTACTATCTTAACACATAAACAAGATATTACTATTAGAAATTTTAGTGATTTTATTTTGACTACAATAGTAATTCTAAGTGTTGGTGCCAGTGTCATGAAATTTTCTCAAATCCATAACAAAATTCTGAAGCTTTATTGTAATAAACAAAATGTATATGTCTTCCTTACCCAGAATGTTAAGCTCTAAATTTACTCCTTATAAAGAAAAATAATGGGATAAGGCAAATTAATAAGCCACAATGAACTTGTTGCAAAACATTTCAACATTAGGTGACACAAATATAAGAAGCTTTTGGCAATGGATAAATAAGAAATCAAAGATAACATATTCTCTCTCCAAGGCACTGAGATGTAGAAAAAAATAAACATGAGTCTGGGAGTAAGAGGCTAACACATAAAGGTAGCCCTTTCTTTTTTTTTCCTGACTACTGCAGACCCATCATCCAGGAGCCCTATCTTCCTCCTGTGCACGAGTGGTGTGGGGAGCCTGGGAATGGGGTGATGACCTCAACACAGTGTCTGTCCAGAGATTTCTTCTTTAAAATGTCATTCCACTTGCTTAGTCTCTTGGAAGTACTATTTAGAATCTGCAAAAACTACATTTTTACCATTTCTAGAAATTTAACAAACATAAATAACGTATAAGTCTGTTTAGCCCAAGTGAAACGAGATGGAATGACATAGTCCACTGGATCGGAAGCACAGACCACTGAATGAGATTTGTCATCCAATGAAGCACCAACTTCTAGATTCTCTGCATTAAAACTTTATTTAGTTCATAAGAATATCAGAATGGTATTTTTATTTTATGTTAGACTTGAATTTTAATGTTGGTAATCATGAGTTTCACTTGTTCATCAGAGGGTAGCCCTGCTTTCTTTAATAAAAGAAATCATCAGATTGGGGCTGGCCACATGACCTTGACTTAAAAGACATTTTCTCGCCTCCCTTCAAGTTGGCTAGGTATGGGACCTAGTGCTTCCAAGTGGCATCCTCCAAAAGAGACACACTCTTTTCTAGTTCCACTTTGAAAGATCAATGCGGGTACTTTCCCTCCTCTCCCACTAGAAGATAAGAACAGGAAAAAGAACCAGGAGTGGTTCATACATGTTTAGAAGATGACAGTGTTCCAGCAGCTCTTTGTCTTACTTGTAGATGACTGTGTGAATAGGGGTAAACTTTTTCTTTGGAGAGGTTTTTGCTATAGGGTGCATGTGCTTGCCAGAAAAACAGAGAGAGACAGAGAGACAGAAAGTGAGAAAATGAGAAATCACCCCCTGGGGGGATGGCCAAACTGCAAAGCCTTGTCCTCCATTCTCCTCTAGGGATCTTGGGCACACACACACATGTGCCCAGTATGAGTTTTAAGCCACCAGGTCCGAGACTTGAACCATGGTTAATGACGTGGGAGTCCAGTGACGTAGCCATTATTCCAACTGCTGGTCCCCAGAATAGGGGCAAACTTTTAATGTATATAAACCACCTTCTGGTTTGACCCAACCTTCTTCCTGCTCCTGTCTTTCACAGAAATCAGTTCTCCATCATGTTCTAAAGTTTCTCATGCCTGTTCCTTATCAATCACAGGTTTTCTCTGAAAACATTTTTTACACATCAAATCATTTTTGTGCATGCTTCTTAAAGGACCTAACACGGTGACACTTGTCTCCTCTCATTGAGGTGTAAACAATCACTTATTATGATAGCAGTGCTATAATTTATGACTATCATTAAAGATAGTCACACTTACCATGAGCTACATTTCTAGATTAAACAGATAAATATGAAGAGGGGAAATAAATCTGGATTAAGTAGGATCATTTTTAACATAAGTAATGCATGAGATGATTTCACCCCACACCATGCATGTATTTGTTTCTTAAGTGTTATGGTTATCTGAGAAATCTCCTTCTGTCAGTTTTCACTGTAAAATTTTCTATACATCATATAAATGGTGCCTTTTTTTTTTTTTTTTCCAGGAACTTCCAAGAATTTGCTGCTAAGGACATCCTGATAATCTAGTTAAAGAAGAAATCTAGAAAACCATTTGTAAAAGTGAGTACAAGTTGACAAAATCAAATAGAGTCACTTGTGTTAACCCTGACTAAACTGAGCAGGAAAGGTGATGGAAAGGGTGTTTTGTCACGTTAGTATTCCTGATATAAAAAAAAAAAATAAAAAAAAAAAACCTGCCACCAGGAGGCAAAAAAAAAAAAAAAAAAAAAAATAACTGCCACCAGGAGTCTGTCAAAACCATGGCCACGCACAAATCTCACTGCAACCTGACACAGGAACTTCTGTGAGGACATCTGTTCAGACACTGCCCGTCTCACTGAAAACAGCTGTCCCAGCGGTGGCCTTGAACAAAGGGTGGTCCTTGTTAAAACAGCAATGGAGCCCTGCCCCTTTGTAGCTTTCATCTTTGAAACTGTCCTAAAATTTCTAAGACCCTAGTGTACACGATCCAGGGCGAGGTGGATGCTGTGGTACCTGGACATCCTCTTCAGCCCTGACCCAAATAAACTCCTTTAGTTTCACATTATTTTGCCTTAGCTTTATCTCTGGGCTAAGTGGCCATTGACTGTCTTTATTAAAGGGGAGAAAGATTTTGTGTGTGTGCAGTGTTAAAACACTCAACGATAACCAAAAGTTTAAAATATGTTTGTTTATTTTCTAACTCAGAAGTTTTGCATTTGTGCTATACAAAAAGGAAGTTACCAGATGTCTTGGTTAAAAGAAAACAAAACGCAACAACCTGGCATTAATACTGTTATTCTCCAGCTGAAGCTGGCAGAGAGAGTTACTCACCTCTTCTGCATGAATGCCACACAGTTTGTTTCCTGACAAGAGCTTGTTTTTCAAGCTTTTATTCTGAGAAAAGAAACAGGGTTTGATTATTAAGAAGTAATAAAACATTAAGAATTTCCTTAAATATGTTGACATCTTTGCTGTTTTCTTTACAGGTTAGAACTTTATGATATAAAATATAGTGAATTTCCATAAAACTAAGTTAAATCTTTAATGTAAAAGAATGTTCCCTTTAAATGAATTACATTTTGCTGTATTAGCATGAACATGTGCATTGAAAAAGGCGAACTTTTATTTTGCCTTATGTGTAACTTGTATTTATTATATTCAGATATGTGATTAAATAAAGCAGCTGTAGTTTCAGCTCAGCAATGTTGCTAGTTTCTGCAAGCATCTATTCTCCTGCCATCCAGAAGCTGGCCAATTTGTGCTGTGTTATAATATAGCCACAGATCCATCAGAGGGTTCGTATTCCCTTTGAAGGGTCGTTTTAGTGTCTTCTTAAATTCTTGATGCCTGCACACAGCATTCAAAGGGCTCCTTGATGCTCAGAAGACACTTTTTTCTCCCAGGCCTCAGAAGTGCTTGCTGCTGTGTGTGAGTACAGACACTTCCACTAACTCGGAGTCTCCCATAAATGGGCTGGGTTCGTAGAAAAATGTCTGGTCTGCTGAGACTTCTTAACTATGGAGTCTAATCCTGCGTACCTATTTAATTATGTCTTCCTTGTCACACTCTGTTTCTTTTCTTTCACCCCAATAACTGAAATACACAATCTCTCTGTAAAAGGTCAAGCCAAAGAAAAGCAGAGAACTTTGTAAAACCCACAGAGTTTAGACTTCAAACTCGCTCTACCAGAGTAAAACAAAACAATATACTGGCAAAGTATATCTCTTATGTAACAGCTCTATGAGAAAATTAAACATTTAATGTAGAGTGAATGAACAAAGGCATTAATGGAGAAATCAAATTTAAGAATTCTCCACTCACAGTTCCCATCTGATTTTAAACATCCTTTTTAATTTTGTTTCCATATCGTGCAGTGATGGGGTACAGATGTCTCAGCTTCAAAGAATTCTTTAGTTAAGTGTTGAACTTCTGTAAGCCTCAATTAGGATTCTGATACTATGAAATGTTTTATATAAATAGGAGAAAGTT